TATATATATAACGGACAGAAGATTGGCAGTTCTGGGAATATATCATTACTTGTATGGCCACTCTATCTGGTCTTTTTAATTGTAGAATGGAACCTAACAGCAAGCGAACATAGCGAAAATGGCTCTATTAAAAACAGAAAGATAGTTTGTTTCGTTTGGAGAGGAAACATTACCACTACCTTTCGGGACATTGAAAAAGCCGACCAATCGTCTCAATTTTGCCTTGAATTTGTTTTGGAAAAAGGAAAAGCACACAGACATCTGTCATTAAACTACCTTAGTAAAACACTTTTACAGAGGGAACATAGCAGAGAACGTTTCCTAGTCGATCTAGAGCGTATGCATTGTCAAAATTCATCGTGAACTTCACTTTTACTCGGCAACATATGGAGTTAGTCAACATGTATGACCCAAAAAACCATCTGCATTAGATTGAATGCTCAAGCGCTCACTACTTCAATAAATGCCTTCAAAAAATGCCCTGTTTTGTCGGTTATGTGAACACGAAGAACAGAGGTAGTCTTTAGGGGCAACTGATTGAAATTTCTGAATGTTTTGATGTATTCACCGATATTTCAAGGACGATCTGAGACTCAACATACTCAACCACCAGAAAAAAACTACTGGTAATTTACATGGACGTTCTCTTATTAAACACAAAAGAAACCTTTGTACGATTTCATCAGCCCATTTTATTCATACTTATTGGTCGCTGACCGACCTATCAACATGTGACCTTGGGAATCCTTTATAGCTGTAACGTCCCTATCGGCGAACTCAACCGAAACCCTGTTTACCTCGATCAACCGCATCTCAAGCAATGTAAAACCGAAAAAAGAGCCAAACCTCATGAAAAAAATTTTGAATCTATACTGAGCACTTCAGACTTTTGCTTAACCGGCATACTTGACATTATATTCGTTCCTAAAGGCGATTTAAGTAGAAATTTAACCAAAGACCACTTACGGCTGTTATTCGACTGCCGTTGTCTTATTTACTCGTCTTTTTCGTGAAGAGGCGCTCTGTACACCAAAATTTTAGCATACTCAGTTACAAAGATTTATGACGTTTTCGGAATTTCCCTTTTCTAAGAAGGATGTTATTTATAAAAAAATATGTAGTATTACTTTTATTATTTCTTTTATGTTTTCAACTCGCTTTAAATTGCCCCTTTTAAATTCCAAGTTCTGGTCCATTCATGTTTGTCGGATTCCGAGGAAGTAACAATGTTTCATACATTTCGGTCCATTCCGTAGGTTACCAAATTTACTATACCTCACTGGTGTAGCGCCTTAAGCTCCCGCGTCCTGACGGCGCGACCCAATTTCCAGCCAAGGATCCACTGCAGCACGGCCAGTCTGACAGATGGACTATAGTCCCAGCCAAGGGCACAAGCCCTCCCCCATCCACCCCTCCCTCTCTCGCGCAGCCTTGTCCGACTGCAAAAGCCGCTCACATGCCAATCGTTCTTTCCTAGTTCCCAAAAATGGGCTCCGGCACGCATTCGACACTCCAGACGAATACAATGATCGTCGCAGTGATCACATGCTCCTCGTCTTCGACAAATTTGTGTGCGCTGAAGTTGCCAACACTTCAGTCCCTGCACCTCCCAGACGCACAGGATGACGCAACGATCAGCTGATTAACGGAACGGAGAGGGTGCTCTGAGACCAACTCCAGACACAGCTTCCGACTTCGCACGTTTCAGACATGTCGCTGACCAGTGACAACATCTCGTTCTCCACCGTCTTCCTGTAATCAGCGCATACTTTACGCATCGGTTCCTCGAGTCATTCTAGGGCAGGAGCAATCAGTTGCAAGTCGCTCTGTGAACCGACGTCCCTGCTTTTTTAATCTGGCAGATCACAGCCTCGGGTCCAGTTAACTCCACTGTTGCCACGAATTCAGGTTTGCATTCTCTACACAGGCAGAATGGATTCGACCAGTCCTGTGTACCAGCTTGCTGTTACTTCATTTGACAGAAAAGCAACTTCAAACTTAGCAGAGAGAGAGCCCTTCCGACTTGTTGGTAAACAGTTAACTCTCACGACATTTCTCAGAATGACGGAGTTTGGCAACGAAGACTGGAGCATTTACTCTGGTTTTCAGTCCGTACGCCGTAGTCGACGTCGCAAATTTTGGCAACTCATAGAATGTACGGAGTGACAACTTTGGACTACGGTAATCAGCGCATAATTTAGACATCGGGTCCTACAGTCGCTCCAGATCCTTACTGGCACATTTCTAGGATTACCTGAGAGATAATGTCACGTAAAAACATCATGTCGCGATTCATCAGATTTCGATAATACCCTTTCACTAACGTGATAATAGCCGCTCCTGATAGGGCATCGGAAATTTCGTCACTGGTGTTGATTAACGGCATGATAATTAACTGTCTATTTGATTCACCGACGCTGTCATTGGAATTGGTGTTCATCCGCGCTCTCCGCGCGTGACCAACTTCTCTGCCCAGGCAAAGTCGCAGCAGCGCATATGGAGGAACAAAGCCACTGCTGTTGTTAATAGACTGCAGACCGGAGAACCAGAACTTTAACAGCTCATTGCTCATGCGGTCGTCATCTCTACAGGGAAGGACAATCTCCTCCAACCTGGACGTGCAACCGAACCCCGTGGAATGGACCGTGACCTGCGAGTTGACGTCATCCCTCCTCCCTACTGTTGTTGCATGTTCGGCCATCCGCGTCTGGAGTAATCCCCCATATCCCCCAATGAAGTTATGTTGCCCGCATCTGCACCAGATCCGCTATCTGAAACTGCCTCGGGTGCTGGGTTCGAGTGTGGATCCGAAACGGCATAATTTAGACATCGGGTCCTACAGTCGCTCCAGATCCTTACTGGCACATTTCTAGGATTACCTGAGAGATAATTTCACGTAAAAACATCATGTCGCGATTCATCAGATTTCGATAATACCCATTCACTAACGTGATAATAGCCGCTCCTGATAGAGCATCTCTTCTCGATTCATACCAAGAAGTGATTGTGCGATAACTATTGCGGACGCAGGAGTAATCAATTGCGAGTCTCCCTATGAATCAATGAAGCTGCTCTTTTAGCCTGGCAGGTCACAGTCTCCGAAGCAATTTCTGTAAATGAAGAAGCTAGAGGACAGACGGGTTAAAAAAACTTCCGGTGCACCACTGTTTTGGTTGTTTTACGCGCTCATCTCCGGACAGGATACTTTGTGGTAATAACTCTTGTGGTTTAACCTTGAATGCTCTTCATTGAGCAAATGAGCGTTGGCCGAGCGCAGGTTACTCGGTTCATCTGCAGTTATCTCTAACTCTCTGGCGATTAAGTGGCCGGCAGATATCGCCTTCCCTCGGGTACTCGTCAGACAATGACTGCAACTATAAAAAAGTAATTCTAGAAAGTGTTTTTTGAGTCAATCCTCAACCAGACGGAACCAACAGACGAAACGAAGAACCTTATTCGACACCAAGTGTCCTCCCGTGGGGAGGGCGCATGCGAGGAAAAATTCCGGTGACAGCGGGCCAAATGGCCGAGTAATCATCACGCCGACATCCAACACGCACGATGAAATTGGAGCAGTTAACGACTCAGACGCGGGCTGACAAGCCGTCATCGCCTCAATTACGACCGCCGGCAGTGATCGTGACAGCTGTTACTTATAGCCCGTATCGGGACCCGCGGCAGCTACGTGCTATAAAGGCCGTAGTCTTTGTGCCTTCACTACTGTAGAATTCTTGGTAAATCGAGTTCCGCGTATAAGCCAAAACAGATTTCGGTGTATATACGACACTACTGATAGAATAAGGTAGTAATAAAAAACGTACAAACCTCAACAATGGAGACCCTAGGCAAAGAGTTCCTTTGTTACCTTTCGAGCAGATCGAATTCCCAGCTCAAGGTCAGAATACAAAAATTAGTTAATTAAAAGAGCACCGATCACCCTCGAAAGGGGGTTACAAAAAAGGGGAAGGGTAATGTCAACAGGCCCAAATGTGGAAGTACTTGCGAGGTGGGCTTGGAAAATTCCAAGCGGTCACCATCTGGATAAAACAACTACCTTCATCTGCGACCGTCTCTGATGATGGGTTCGGGTGAGAATCCGAAACGTCAGGCCAATAAACTTCTTGTTCCAGTGATCGCATCATCTTCTAGTTTATTCTCTTAGCTTGACCCAAAATAACTTAGAGGGACTTCGCCCCGCCTCATTTCCTAGCTCCAACGCAATTTACCCATCGAGTTCAATGAACGCCATTTTTAGCATCCCCTAACTGGTCTTTTTTCCTGATTTTTGTAGATCATTAATACGATTGTCCGCGAGGAAGTTTTGTTGTCCTCCAATGTCAGGCTGCGCATCAGAGAGTCAGTTGGTCATGGAGCGGCGTTCTTGTCTTAGAGCTATGTGCGGTCCTAGAAATACGTGCGGTCTGGGATTTTTGCACCGCTGGTTATAGCGGAAAACGAGCCAGGAGCGACCATCCCAGTATTCCCATCTCTGCTGGAAAAGAATTCTCGAGTTTTGCCATGTGACCGCCTGCGTGGGCTGTGAATCAAAGCTAAAACGAAAATGCCTGCTGTCGCCCCACAATCTGGAGAGATCGGTGTTCGCTAAGCGCACGTAAATGTCTTGACTTGCACGATAAGTTAGGGCATAGAGGAATGGCCTAGATAAAAACGAGCTAAATAATTGGGAAGGCACGTGTCAGACATATCATTGACCAGTGACAACATCTCGTTCTTCACCGTCCTCCTATAATTGGCGCATAATTTACGCATCGTGTCCTAGAGTCGCCCCAGAGCCTTAATCGCACATTTATAGGATGATCTGAGGGACAATGTCGTGAAGATGGAGACAGGATCACTGGAACTGGAGATTTATTAGTCTGACGTTTCGCATTCCTGCTCGAACCCGATATGTGGATGGCACCTTCGTCGTTATCGAACGGGATCGACTGCTGACATTCAAGGAACATCTGAATGCGGTCTTCCCGGACATACAATTTACGATGGAGGAGGAAGAGAACAACCAACTGGCCTTCGTGGATGTCCTCATATGCCGCAAAGGTTGTGGTGGACTAAAGACCAACGTGTTCAGGAAAGCGACAAATACGATGCAAGTACTGAACTTTCACAGCAACCACCCAATCAGCCGCAAACGCAGTTGTGTAAGGACGCTCTATCGGCGTGTCGAAACGCACTTCAGTGAACCGGAAGACAAGATTGCCGAACCACAGTACCTCCGACGGGTCTTCAAAGCCAGTGGCTATCCACGCAACTTCGTTAATAGGTGCATACACAAAAGGGACGAAAGGCCAAACTGCACGGACCCCAAATTTTGGCGAGCGCTTCTGAATGTCAAGAACGTTTCGGAGGCTCTCGGTCGCCTTCTCTCGCCAGTTGGGGTTAGAGTTGCACATAGACCGGAGGCAACCATCAGGCGTCAGTTAATGAAACCCAAGGACCCACTGCCACGTCTTGAAACGTCTGGAGTCATGTACCGGATCTGGTGCAGTTGCGGACAAAGCAACTACGTCGGAGAAACCGGAGGACAGCTCCGAACGCGAATGACCGAACACGCTGAAGCAGTGCGGAGAAAAGACGCCCGGTCCCGCCTTCCGTCTTCTTGTCTCTGTCCCTAAATCGGTCTGAAGTGGGTGAGTCACTGTTCCTGCGGACACCGTCAACAACGACTGGCGAATTGTCACTTCAGCTTGGTTGGGCTCGAGAGAGAGAGAGAGCCCGTAAGGCAAAACGGAACGAGTGAGTTCTGTAAGAAAGATCGGTGAGCCCCCTCTACCATTGTATATTCCCGATCGAAAACCGACAGGGCAACGGGCTCGTGGCCCAGTGGTTAGAGGCGTGGACTTCTAATTAACAGGTAGCATGTTCGAGCCTCGGGCGTTCCACACTTCGAGGTTGAGTATAACTGGCTGAAGACGGCCAATAAGCCAGAAATGGCCATTCCAGTCTCCCTTGTCTTTGTCGGTAATGCCATTCTAACCAAGCTATCCCTGGAATTTAGGGAAAGGTTTCTTGTGCCCGTGCCCCACCTACAGTATTGCATGCATTTCTCTACGGTATTAAGGGCAGACCATATGAGGTTCATTAAATTATGCAGTGGATTTGAGCAATATTGTTACCTTTACAGGCCACATTCGTAAATGCAGATACATGACGTTTCATGAACGGCCATTTAACGGTATTAAAAATTCTCACAATTAGAAACTTTTTTAAAACCGAATTATACTCTTCTTTTGAGTATGAAATTGGAAGAAGACGTAATTTTCTACCGAATAGATGAACGAATGACTATTTTTATGCGTGTTTTCCATGAAATATAATTGACTTTTCAAGGACATCGAAAATCAATGGGAAAATTGCATACTACATACGTAGTCATTTTTTGCAGAATATAGATCTTGCATGCAGCCAAAAATAAGTTCTTTCGAAAGTTGACACCCTGAGGTAACTGGATCATTATAGACTTACGCTGCATCATGACTAGTTTTACAGCACTACTTAATTTATCTTTTCGAAATGGGAACGCATTTCGAAAGTTTGGTTGACATTTCATGAGTTAGCACATCTACTGTACATTCAAGTCTGAGTGCTAATATAAATTCAGCTCTCTTTGAAGTATATATTTTTTACTAACCTGCACCGCCAAATATGCAGTCAAAACACTTTGGACGCCGGGAGTTTTTAAACACGTGGGAAGGTCACGCCTCTGACGGCAGACGAATGAAGTCGGTATACCAAAGGGAACGGCAATTCCTCAAAGTTGTGTCTAGACTACAGCCAGGAATATTTGCCCGTTGCTGATTAAAAAGACATTAGACGGGAACCGGTGCAGACTCCGTGTTCACAACGTGCCCCAGTTAAAAAGGGCTTACCTAGACGGGCAGTAAACGCAAGTCCTCCCAAAGTTGCACTTTCGATATCTGTATGAAAAACCGCCACCCTAGTCTATTCCATGCACTGTGAGCTCTAGTGAGTGAAGATTTCTGAGCTTTTCCAGAGATACTGACTGAAGTTCTGGCCATGGATATGATGTCAACTTCACTTTCCAGATTAGAAGTTGTAACTGGGTCACAATTAACGATCCGAAAAAACTCTTTGCTGTGAGCGATTTCAAACTTTCCACGGCACAGTGTTTGAATCTGGATTCGCTGTTACAAATAAGCATTTACAGTAGGTGGGCTAACTAATTAACTGTCAACCGAAATTCCCAAATGCGTTTTCGTTTCGGAAAGATTACTTGGATAGGGCTGTAAAACTATTCAGCCTGCAACATACTTCTATAATATTTCAGTTACCTCAGGGTGCCGGCTCTCGAATGAACTTCCCTCCGACTGCATGCAGAAACTACACCCTGAAAAAATGACGACTAAAGCAACATCCATTTTTCTAATTGATTTTCCATGCCCTTAAAAAGTGAATGATATTTCACAGAAAACATGCATAAAATATTCATTATTTTACTTATTCGGTAGAAAATCACGTCTTCTTCCGATTTTATATTCGAAAGGAGAGTGTAATTCGGTTTTGAAATTTTTTTCTAATTCCCGAATAATTTTGAACCCGCTCTACCGTTCCACTTGGATTCAGGGTTTCAAAACTACAAGCCGTATACTTTTCGCTTACGGGAAACCACACATTTCTCTACGGTAATAATGGGTGACTATATAGGGATCATACAATTTAGCAGTGGATTTGATCCATATTGTTAACTTTACAAGCCACACTGGTAAATGCAGAGACATGACGTTTCATGAACGCTCATTTCACGGTATTGAAAAATCTCACAATTAGAAACTTCTTTGAAACCGAATTATACTCCTCCTTAGAGTATAAAATTTAAAAAGGCGTGATTTTCTTGCAAATAAATAAAAGAATGAATATGTTCATGCATTTTTTCATGAAATATAATTAAAATTTCAAGAGCATCTAAAATCAAGGAGAAAATCGAATGCTACTTATGCAGCCATTTTCTGCAGAATATAGTTCTTGCCTGCAGTCGGAAATAAGTTTATTCGAAAGCCGGCACCCTGCGGTAACGGAATCATTACCAAATAATGTTGGACGGTGATTAGTTTTACAACCCTACTTAATTAATCTTTTCGAAACGAGCACGCATTTCGAAATTCCGGTTGACATTTCATGAGTCAGCCCACTTACTGTATTTAAATCCATCGCCTCCTCGGTCTCGTTGGTTCTGTGTTGACACCGAGCCCAGTGGTGTGAGGGAAGAGAGAGAGCGTGGACGATACTGCGCAAGTCTGCTGTCATTAAAAACTAATGCACCTGCAAGTCAACGTCCCTGGGCCCAATTACGGTTGGACCTTCAGTAGAGCGGGGTGTGGAGGCGAGGTTTGACCTGCGTTGATCTACCGCAGATGTTCATGGAAGCCCATGTCGCCGAGTATGTCCTTGTACCGACTGAGATAACAATCGGGAGATGGCACCCAAAAAAATCCGCCTAACCAAAGCAGCCTGTCTTAAGGGACAGGCGGTGATAGGGGTTTTATGGGTGGTGGCTGGTCGGGATGTACGATGCTAGACATCGGAAAGCCTTATTTGAACAGGTGAATGATCGAAGTTAACCCTCTCTCCGTTCCTTTATTACAAAATGGGTCACTAAAGTCAGTATAGTGGTAACGGACGAGTGGAAGACGTATGATCGTCTTCCCTCAGAAGGTTATCAACATGTCTCTGTTAACCACTCAAAGAACTTCAAGAACCCTACCACCAGACGGCACACCAATGCCATTGAGGCATACTGGGGTAGACTGAAAAGGAAACTCCACGAGGGAGGCCCTGTATGTGGTCGATCTGTGTGGGTTTACATAAACGAAGTGCAGTATCGTCTTTGGTTTGGCCTCAATGCCATGTCTTTGACAGATGACTGGGAACTGTTCCTGTCCCGTGTTGTGCAGACTTATCCTATTTAAAATTGATTATGTTTTGTAATAAACTGCCATAATGCGAATGTGTGCTGTATATTCAGGTGTACGTGTGTAACGATGGGGAAGGTTGGGTAACAGCGACCATCGTCCATGTAACCTCCTGTGATGTTCCTTCGGCCAGCCCATGGTAGGCCGTCGCGGAAAGTCCAAGTAGTGCGCGAACGTAGGCCTGCAACCGCTGATATAGCCTGAATGCGTTTGAGTATTATTTCTAGGTAAGAGATTTTTGGGTGTCATCTCCCGATTGTTAATGGCGACGGATCGTGCGTGAACAGTGCGTGCAGTTGAGGCAGGTGCGACATTCCAGGAACAGATTCACCGGTCTCAGTGCGATGGATCTGCAAGCGACCGACCAGAACGGTACGTGAAGTAAATGTGCGATAGCAATGAGGGCAGGTTGGGGCTTAGTCCGATTTGCTGCTGGCGGTGGGTACGGTAGTGGTGAGCGTGGTGGTTGACGGGGCGTCATGATGGTTTTCACTGGTGGTGGGAGTGGAAGGAGTGGCAGTTGTCACTGGGGGGAGGGTTTGTGACGGTGATGATGGGGGTGGTGAGCTGCATCGGCGAGACATCAGGAGTGGGCTCGCCGGTGGTGGTGGTGGTGGTGGTGGTGGTGGTGGTGGTGGTGGTGGGAGAAGTTCATGCTCCAGGCGCGTGTTCAGACGGTTGAGGGTACGGGAAGGAAGATGTTTCCTGTGATGTTGAGCAGCGAAATGTCCACGGGATTGTCACAGCTGTGTTGGTTTCTTTCGCATTTGTATACATGGATGATGATCGCATCTCTAAAGTCTTGAGAGAAGAAGGAGACATGATCACCGGGACAAGAGCTTTATTAGCCTGACGTTTCGGATTCCTGCTCGAATCCAGCATCAGAGACAAAAAGACAGAAATGGGTGGTTTTTGCACAAGGGGCTGCGGTATTTATAGAATTATTCTATTCCCCAGGACCTGGCGATTGAGACAATTGAGCTGCTACTACAAAGCAAATACGATGAAACGGAGAACCGTCTTGGACACGCCTTAGTCCTCCAGCTCCTGAAGCTCTGTCTCAGGACGTACTTCACGTTCGACGGGACAATCTACGAGCAGGTGAAGGGCACACCAATGGGTTCGCCGATTTCGGGATTCATCGCCGAGGTGGTCCTGCAACGGTTAGAGTCGCTGGTCTTCCAACACTACAGACCGAAATTCTGGGCCCGGTATGTGGATGATACCTTCGTCGTCATCGAACGGCGTTAACAGGCATTAACATTCCAAGAGCATCTCAACGCCGTCTTCCTGGACATTCAATTTACGATGGAGGAGGAAGAGAACAACCAGCTGCCCTTCCTGGATGTCCTCGCGGCTCACGCGATTATCCCCTCTCGCGAGAATTTCGGCCTCATCGAACTCGAATGTGTGGCCGGGTCTCGTCGAATGGGCCGCTTGAGTCATGGTTCACTGGACCTCAGTCTATCAACAAGTGCAACGACATTCCCACTCCATATTCCGTGCTGAGGCATAGGCTGGCCAAGATAATTGATCACTCGGGGAGCGCGCAAGCCGGTGAGCCAGATGACCGAGCAATCATCACGCCAGCATCTAACACGGGTGATGATATTTCGGCGATTAACAATCATGCCGGCCATCAAGCAATTATCGCACCAGCGAGCACCCATCCTTGTCGAAGGGGAGCGCGGTTGATCGCTATAGGTATGCGGTAGCATAGCGACTGCATCCTATAAATACTGCGATTTCCTGTGCACAAGTCACCCTTTTCTGCCACTGTCTCTGATGATGGATTCAACTGAGAGTCCGAAACGTCAGGCGAATAAAGCTCTTGTTCCAGCGATCGCTTCTTCTTCCGATCAACTAGAATCATGGTGTACTGGCCCCCAGTCTATCAACAAGTGCAACGATCTTCCCACTCCATACTCCGTGCTGAGACTTCGCCAAGGCGGAGTAACAAGCCACGCTGGGAGCGCAGAAGTGAACACTTTTCCCAACACCGGGGTCGGTGCGTCAGATGGTCGAGCAATCATCACGTCAACATCCAACGCACGGGATAAAGTTGCAGCAATTATCGACTCGAATGTCGGCCATCAAGCAATTATCACACCAAGTGCGACGATCCCGGATGAAGGGGGGAGCCGTGGATGTTCGTAGGTATGTGGTAGCATGGCTACTGCATCCTATAAATACCGCAGCTCCTTGTGCAACAACCACCCGTTTCTGTTTTTTTTGTCTCTGATGCTGGATTCGAGCAGGAATCCGAAACGTCAGGCTATCATATTTTAGTTGATATCATCGTGCAGCGACACTTCAATACGTTGGAGCAATTTGCTGACCGAATTTTGAATGACAGCGTCCATCCCCTTCATAATGAGTTAATGGCTGCGAAATCCTTACGCCCCATGCGTCGATGCTTCCGCCACATCCCTTGTCGCACTTCGGCTTATCATAATTCCATACTGCCATTTCTAGCCCGGTATCTCACCTGCAAAGATGCTGAAAAACAAAAGCTAAAACATGGGACATGAACAGTTCCCAGTCATCTGTCAAAGACATGGCATTGAGGCCAAACCAACGACGATACTATACTTCGTCTATGTGAGCCCACACAGCTCGACCACATACAGGGCCTCGCTCGTGGAGTTTCCTTTTCAGTCTACTCCAGTATGCCTCAATGGCATTGGTGGGCCGTCCGATGGTAGGGTTCTTGAAGTTCTTTGAGTGGTTAACAGAGAAATGTAGATAACCTTCTGATGGAAGACGATTATACGCCCTCCACTCGTCCGTTCCCACTATACTGCCTTTGGCGACCCATTTTGTAATAACGGAACAGAGAGCGGACCAACTTCGATCATTCACCTGTTCAAATAAGACTTTCCGTCGACTAGTATCGTACATCCCGACCAGCCACCACCCATAAAACCCCTATTACCACCTGTCCCGTGAGACAGGCTGCTTTGGTTAGGCGGATTTTTTTTTGGGTGCCATCTCCCGATTGTTGCCAAGGGTACTATCTCCGGCCTCACAGAGATAAAACTCTGTCACCAAAAATGAAAGGTTCCAGGTTCGAGGTCCGAATTCGATGCCTAAGGTTAGGGCGCAGGAGTGGGCACACCTTCACGCGCATGGAAGTCCCATGAAGGCTTGAGCCCAGTGAATCGAATGAGGTCCATTTTTTATCTGGACTGCACAGTTTTTCAGACTTAGCTGTTTCATAGGCGGCAACGACAATAATGTGGCGTCTTTTCCCATAATAAAACCGTTCTCACAGTCAAGACAACCAGTGCCAAATGCTCGCTCAACCAGAAGGAGACGTAGCACTCGAGACAACACAACAATAAGATGGGATTGCGTTCAGTGATCGAATTACGGCAAATGCTCGTGCCGTTGTGCGACGAAGCTTAATCTAGCGCCTCCCCTCCCGGGGGGAGCCCCGCGGTCCGGTAGTTCTGTTTTTTTATAGGGGTTATGGCAGATTTCAAATAATTCACTTTGACCCAACTGCAAAAAAACTCGGTGCCTCGGTGGGATTCGAACCCACGCAGTAAGGGGAAGGCTTTAGTGCAGCCAACGCTCTAACCATCAGAGCTACGAGGCCGCATTGGACGGCGCGAGTTTAATCACATTTGGGCCAAGTTTGCCCGCCCAACCTACTGCAACCTCTGGTACGTCGTCCGGTGGGGCCTCGTAGCTCAGATGGTTAGAGCGTTGGTTGTACTAAAGCCCCTCCCCTTGCTGTCGTGGATTCGTCGTCTACGTTCATATCACACGCACCAGTCCTTAATCTGGCGATTCATAGATGGCTGTATTCTTCTACTCATTCTTTATTGTTCTCCAGTTATTTTTCCAGCTTTACTTAAAAAAATATATAATTATTTTTAAACGTGTCATTCGAATGCTCGCCTCTGCTGCTGGTGTTTCCTATCATATTTTAGTTGATATCATCGTGCAGCGACACTTCAACTCGGTGGAGCAATTCGCTGACCGAATTCTGAATGGCACCGTCCATCCCCTACATAATGAGTTAATGGCTGCGAAATCCTTACGCCCCATGCGTCGATGCTTCCGCCACATCCCTTGTCGCACTTCGGCTTATCATAATTCCATACTGCCATTTCTAGCCCGGTATCTCACCTGCAAAGATGCTGAAAAACAAAAGCTAAAACTTGATCTTGCACCTTAAAGTTCTTTTTTCTTCATATATAATTATGTCCACCTGTCCAATACCTGTTAATCTCTATGGTAATCACTGTGTACTGGAGAACCGTTTTTGCTGAAAGTTTTGAATGTTAATTTCAAAATAAAGCATTCCTCTCTCTCTCTCTCTCTCACTCTCTCTCTCTCTCTCTCTCTCTCTCTCTCTAATAAAGCTCTTGTCCCGGCGATCGTGTCTCCTTCTTTAAAACTACTTCCCGGGATTCGTCTCTTCGCTTCTATTGGCAGTCTTGAGAGAATTGTTCTTATTGCGACATTTAGTGGAAGATAGAGGTCAGCCTGTTGACCAGTCGAGGACCGCGGGGCTTGTAAACTTCGACCGGTATCTCCTCGGATCCCGGTGCATTCGCGCACGAAACCTGGCGTTCAGTCTTTAATTTTTCCTGGAGTGAAGGCGGAAGGCTCAGTGTATTTAAAAGCTGACATCCTGCCGAGCCCGAAATGCAATAGGATTATGCCGTATGCTAATCAGCATTACAACCGCGCCTAAGTAATCCTTCCTAATCGAAAACGCATTTCAGAATTTCAGTCAATATTTAATGAAGTCGGTCACTCCCTGTACCTCCATTGTCCAAACCTGTTGATGAACCACGACGACGCGATCGGTAGTACGCCCAGAGCATAGACACTCAACGCATTGCGAGTGACATCCCAGGCATCATCAGGAGGGTTGCCGTCAGCTTTTGCGGAGGACGAGCAGACTACGCATCCCCCGGAGGTGGGGCTTGGGGAAAACTGCACCCAGAGGGTCCCCTGTGAGCGTGTATCCCGTCGGAGAGGCACTGAACTTCTCGCAGGACTATCACAGCACCCAGTGGCCTAGCTGCTACAAAGTGAACTCACTTCAAATCCGTCGGCGCTGTCGCCGCTTCCGACCGCTTTGTCTGCCTCTCGCGATCAAAGCAGCACCTTACTGCTGACGTTATGTCGAACTGACGCAGCCGCAGCCACTGTCGGAAACATGTCTGGCGGATGAGGTGCACATTGTTACCTACGCTATCTGTCTCCTAATCCATCGATCAGTCGAGGAACCTTTGTCCCCCCTCCCCCTTCACCCCTGCGGGTGTCACCAGACAAAGAGGTGATTTTGGTGCCGTCGCTCCGTATACTGAAGTCTACGCGACTAGTCTACACCCTGCCATGCATGTGTGCAACCTGTCTGTGGTGTTTAGGACGTGACCTATTTGGTTGGTTCAATATTTAAGAAGATGTTATGGAGAGTGCGAGCAGCGTGGAGTCAGGGGGAAAAGAAGACTCGACCCCGAGCTGAACAGAGGACCAAGTCGGCGGCGTGATACACATGTGAGGTTAGACGGTCGACTGGCGTGAATCGCAGTACCAAGCCCGTGTGTGGTGGTTTTGCTCACGCGTGCGGCCCAATCAATGGCTGGTCGAACATTCGAGACTTTTCCGCGCACGCGGTGGCCAATCAGCGACCAGCACGCACCGGGCAGGAATGTTTTGGAACGCCCTCAGCGCCTGGCACGCCATTGGCCGGAATGTTCCAGAAGGCATAGGGGCCAACATAAATAAGGCGTCTTTATAACGCATTGTAAATCCTCATGTTCGCAGACTGTCAATAAAGTGCTTGTTCTCCGAACCGACTCTCTTTCTGTTCCACCTTCCTTTCGGGTCATAACTAGCGCCGTTTAAGTGGAATATTTTGCCGAATTCACATTCTCAGATGCAGTCAGAGTTAAACAGTGTTAAAGTAAATCTGGAGATTGTTTCAGTAGAGTAGAATTAGCTTTTTCTCTATCACGGTAAGTGTTTTCTTTTGGGGTGAAATTCATTTAGCCCATTCGAGGCTTCGCATTCGCATTTATATCATGCGAAGGAGTCGAAGATTCCAATAGGTAAGGTAGCTTCCTCAATATTTTCCCCTAGTGAGTCAGTAATAATCAGAGCGAATCTTATGTAGGAAGGTTACGTGGAGTCCAGAGTAAATGGTGTCATGCGAGAACTTGGCGGATATCATTAAAACAGAGACATCACAGCACAGTTAACCTCTCAGAACTTCTATTGCTTCTGTT